CACATGCCAACTGGACACAATGATCTCTATGCTAATGAGATTGTGACTTTATGATCTCTTAAGGCACATGCCAGCTGGACACAGTGATCTTTGGACTGGTGAGAATGCGACTTCATGATCTCTTAAGACACATGCCAACTGGACACAATGATCTTTGGGCTAGTGAGAATGTGAAAGTCCGTAACTCGGAGTTTCCTCCGTGAAAAACATATACACATAGTAGTAGTGTGTGTATATACATTAAATTAAAGGGTATATGAAATGTATATGACATCATATAAATATAAATATATATATATATTATATATATAAGTATATACACATCTTCAGCGACTTCGGAGGGTAGCGGCAAAAACTTGCACCTCCACGGTAGTGGCAGCAGCACCGGCACCAGCAAGCACTTCCATCATCTGGGCCGCAACCATCGCCGTCGTTGCCTTGGTGATTTGGGCGCCTTCTGCAACTGAATTCTGTGCATGGTGACTAAACGGCGGGCGCAAATTCCCTGATAGAAAGCAAATCCTCTTTCCACCAAGATATACCTTGCCGCATCGATACACAACTTTCGCAGATCCAGACACACATTTAAAGAACAAGTTTCCTTCCTTCCTTCCTTCCTTCCTTCCTTCCTTCCAAGTGTTCCGTTGCATGTGCCTTTTCAACAATTAACAGTTGTGACAAACTTTGCAAGTTGCATGTCAACATATCATACTAGTCCCACCGGCCATCCCTTCCACTACTAGGCATCCAAATTTGGCGAAACGGTAAGGCAGCACCAGATTTTCCGCTGCTTTTGGATACCTTTCATGGTGCCCTCTCTCCCCTCGGTATTTTCTATAGTACGTATCCGGCATATTGTCAAATAAATATTGCGGAGTGATGTACAATCAAGATATAAGTATGTTGTGCGCTACTACCAAGAGAGAGGACATTCTTACTGACATGCTCAGGACAATCACAGAGTCATCCAATCAATATGTGGATATTCATTCTACAAGACCTGAGGCATTCTCGCTAAAATTTCCAAAGAATTTCGCAGGCTACTCGCAACACAATACTAACTAAGTAGTACTGAGTTTCTACGAGTATCATGATTCCGCCATGCTCTGGAATGGCCAAAGACATCCAGAGACTGCTTATTTCAAAGGCGTTCCGAGGTGCTCTTTACGAAGCCACAGTAGCATTCTGACACGAAGGAAGGCAAACCGAGTCCTGGCAGGTGTTGGCCAATTTGGTCATATTTTGGCCATGCGTTTGTGCTGTTCAGTTGCACATGATTCACCACTTTCTTAAGACGTCCAAATCTCTGTCCGCTTCGTAAAACCGTGATGTCTTCCATCCATTGTTCTCTGAAGAACAGAACTGGTTACATAGCTTTCTTATCCATACTACAGCACTCAAAGGGAGAGCGACCCCGTCCTGGTAGCGGACAGGTGCTGCTATCAAAGCTACCTGACGCACAAAGCGGCGAAGAATGGGGCTGAATCAATGCAAAACTATGAGCATAAAAGCAGCATGATTCAATATGAACATACTGGAGCTTTTGGCGTGGCTAGTTCTGCGACAAGCCGCCGACAGCACAATTCAAAATGGCCGAAGGGCCGAAGAGCTGGGGAGATAAGTATCGGTCGAAGCTCCAAAATACAAACTTGCAGCATGGCTTTGCAAACTTCGTCAGTAAATGCCTAGTTCCGAAGTGTTCGGGGCAATTCTGTGGCTGCCTTGTAATCCTTGTGTAGATCCTGCCAGAGTTGTTGATGGCAGTGATGGAGAAGTTGTGCTTGGAACTGCACCTGAGCACTCAGGACAAGCATGATGCGCACAACTTTAAAATGACAAGCAACAGGCGGCACCATGGCAGTTTTGCTTCGAGCATGCCTGTATTAGTTGCACACGAAGAGACTTAAAGAGACTGGATTCTCTGTGTTGGTTGCTGCATATTGATTGCACGGAGTTGCATGCCATACACATGCCTGTCTACAACATGTTGATCACATGAGGCAACTTTGCAGTTTAGGGAAAGGCAGTTTGGGTTCTAATGTTGAGGTGCATACCGCATCGATATTGTATGTCTAGTCATAGTTGAATCTGAAGTCATATAACTTGCACTTTTTGTAGCAAGTCTTCAGAGTCTACAGTAATACCACTTTGTTTCGCGCTATCTTCAAAGGAACGGAAGGTATCTTGGCATGAGCAGTGAAACGGATTGAACATATTGTTGCAATATGTCGCTCAATGTCCCTCTCGCAACTTCCCCTGACAGTGCCTTGGATGGACGATCCTGTTGCGCTTGTTGATGGGAGCAGATCATCAGAGACTGTAGTGCCTTTCGATTGGCATCGGGACAGGACTCCCCGTATTTTCCAGCAAAGAAAGTCCCAGACGCACTAGATCTTACTTGCGTGAGAAACTTTGGATTCACAAGGCGGTAAATTCAATTTTTTTCTCCTCAGGTTACCCTTGCGGAAACTGTCGCATCAAGTCACCAGTGTTCAGAATT